TTGCTTTTAAATGACAATGTAATGAATATATGTTTTTGAAATAAAACTCATTCCGAGAATGTACTTACAATGATAATTAATGCAAACTTGTTCTCGTCACTTTATGGCTGAAATAATGCCGATGTGACGCAAAACACAACTCACAGAGCTGTGGAATACGGCGATCGTAGTAATTTCGTATTTCACTCCGATTTCCGTGTTGCACAGATGCTAGGTCTACTTTTTCAAGTGTTCGGCAGTACTCCGATCCTTCCGTTCTGCCTCGAGAGACGGGGTCGGTGATATTACAGGCAGTGTATGAATTAGGGCCCGTCCGACCGCCCGAGGCGGTCTAGATGTGTGACGTACGGTCTAAATTTACAGCTAGCCAGCCTGATGGTCTGGTAAAAAATGTAGATGTTTCATACATCGGAGCAAATTCACCATATTCAAAATCATTCATATTCATTTTGGACTAGCAACATTTTGAAGTTACCAGCCCTGATGTCGGCCTGGGTTTTGGGGTCATTTCATACTTTGTCTGTCAATGGTCTTGAAAGGGTCACTTGTCTTTAAACAGAAGGACTGTTTAGGCGTTCCTGCTATTCATCTATTATTATTATTTTGTTTTCTTATTCTTGCACAAGAAAGATAACAGCCTTGCACACTTTGCTTCAGAAACACTTTGCTTGTATGACCTGTTTTTATTTGTGAAAAGAATTCTATATCACATCAGGGTGTCGATTTCAACAGGGGCTAGGAAAACTGAGATATATTTCTTCTGTTATTACGCATCAGAATGGAAATTCAGGGCGGGGAAAGGGAAACTGAAGAACAAGTATTGAAATGCTTAGTGATGTTTATGGAAAATGAAGTACGTGCCATTAACTGCCACTGCTCTCCGTGTTTAGGAATCACAACTCCGCTTTTTAAAGAACGGTAGGGACTTTCGACAGCTACGTAGGAAATAATGACTACTGAGTATTTTTCTTCCTTACTTATTCATCATTTTCTCCTTCAAGATTACTTCTTTGAGTGGCATGTTTGCAAGTTGGTGACAAACTTTATGGATGAACGTCGCCTCATCCGAATAAAGAAGTTGTTCATCCATAACGTTTGTCCTTATCTCCTTTAAGATTGTTTATTTGTTGAAATATATAACACACATATCTGTCTGTGGGGAAAAGGTCACAACGTTTTCTCGAGATATCACTTGCGTACACCAGCGGAGGTCTTGTCTATATTTATAAAATAATGATCCCCTTGACATTTAATGAGACCAGATTACATGAAACTGCTAACATTGTATTCATCGACACAGACGAGGCAGTGATAACACCGTCTCGCTGCAAAGGTACACGCTTGACGATTGTACTTTGTATGGGAGGATATTATTGCCACAACCTAAACGAAATACCATCTACGTGGATTTAGGTGTATAAAATATAATCTAAGAAGCATCGAATTGGTATCCATATTTTCTCGAGAATTTGACGTTAATTCGGGATCTTCTGTTTGGGTTTGTCGTTTAATGTCGCACTTATCAATATTACAGCTATATAGCAACGGTCTGTACATAATCGCGTCTGGACCAGACAACCCAGTGATCAACATCACGATCAACGCAGTTGGGATACGATGACATGTGTCAACCAAGTCCGCGAGTCTACCCACCAGATCCCGTTAGTCGCCTCTTACCACGAGAATGGCTTGCTGAAGACCAGTTCATGGATCCGAGGGTCTTCTTTATGTAACCTCTCTCTTAATCAGTCATGTCCGACTTCCAACCTTGACGCATCTTTTTGAGGCCCTATCAGAACATTTTTTAAAGTAACGTTTAATTTAAGGGTGTGGATGTTTGTTAAATGGTTATATTAAAGTGTGATGTTTGTTTTTAAACACTGATACGTTGAAATGATTTCAGTAAGTTGTGAAAAGACTAAATATGTCAAATGAAAGTAAACGAGTAACATGCGGCCAAACATTTAAACATAGTATGCATGCTATTATAAGAAATATCTAATGTTTAATTAAACTATACTGAACCACTGCTTTTCAAAACCAAATGCAAAAAATTGTTCTTGCAAGGTGGTATTTTTGTTATGATTGTACTGTTTTCTTAACATGTTTTTCAATCAAAATTGACAGTTATTACTAACATATCGACCAAACACACCGAAAAAGGCAGACATGGTAAAAGGTTCAGTATGATATTCCTGAAAATGCAAATGCACGTGCAAGTCGAATTGAATTGCTTTATTTCATTTGATATTCAGGCCAACGGCCTATTACAACATAGAATGCAATATAATAGCATAGTGCGCATGCGTAAAGTATGCATATTCATATGTGTAATAATATATTGGTACATGATTCATGTGTGTGGGAATAATATAGAAGTTCTCAAATTCATTGCATGATGTAAATACATTGTAACATTTCTAATAATGCTTTCATTTTTATTTGACATTAGGTAAACAAATTGATCTATAGAAATCGTCCTCACATCGATATATTGTTTTCTAATGTGTGAAAGTGTTCGGCAACCCAAACGAAAATTGTATTCATCCTCTATATCTCACGATTTACATAATTTATACAGTCGTTTTTTTCGCTCGATACCGTTCATCCTACCAATTTCGATTTTTTAGTGGGAGTGTGCCGCAACGACAGTTTGCCAAAATACTCCTAAATTTGTTCATTTGTATTTAATTGATATACTCTTCAGTTTCAAATCTATACTTAAACAATTTGTAGCTATGAAGTTTAGACCTACTGTTTATTGAATTAAACCAATCTGATATGAACATATCTGTCATTCTTTGTTTACATTCCTGGAGAAATAAGTTTATGTTTTGCACCCCTTGATTTACCCATACATACATAAATCTACTAGAGCATAAAATGTTTCTAATCTTGGTAACCTTGTTTACTTTTCCGTTAGTATCATAAAGAAGTGACATTCTGTAACATTTTTTGACATATCTATGGTCAGGCATCCTGTTTATTTTAACATACATACATACATACATACATACATACATACAAATACTTATATAGCGCCAATATCCGTAATCCGCTCAAAGGCGCTCTGGCTCTAAGATGGTCAAGATATCACATATAGTTCAAATGCTTCACCAAAGAGACATGTCTTCAGATTTGATTTAAAAACAGCTAAATCTGGTTGTGTTCTGAGGTGAGATGGAAGATTGTCCCAGTGTTTAATGACTCTTACTAGCGTGTTAACAAATATTCACCAAGGACAGCATAATTTGGTGTCTTAACTGCCAGTTGTAAATATCTCTTACAAGCTAGTCACTGAATTCTTTCTGGTTCATCGTATTGTTTAAATCCCCAAATTTCACATCCGTATGTTACGATTGGAAATATTTTGGTATCGAAAATATGGAAAAATATCTTGCAATTTATAGAGCAGTTCATATTAAATGTCTGTATAACACTACCCTTCCTGGGCTCTTCTACTAATAGCATATTTCCATGATAACTGAGGAGTGAAATATGTACCTAGGTATTTATAACTATTCACAACTTTTAACTCTACTCCATCAAATTCCCCCATTTCTCATTTGTACGTAACACACATCCCTTTCTGAAAACCATTATATTTGATTTTGCCATATTGACGTTCAATCCAAATTCGATCGAAAAGGAAGAAAGAATGTTTAACTGTTTTTGGAGGTCCTTACCCACATTAGAAATCAACACTATGTCGTCAGCAAAAAAGCAGAAGTAAATATATATGTACAAGATCAGGAATAAGCTGTAGCCCATAGCAGTCTGAACATTCAGTACTAGTTGCTAATTCGTTTATGTATACTGAAAATATCAAAGGTCTCATAATGTAACCTTGTTTTAAACCGACATGACATTTGAAGATTTATTATTATCATAGGATATTTATATAGCGCACATATCCACGCACTAGTGCATGTTCAAGGCGCTGGTATTTTTCCCCTCGATCATTGGATGTCAATATCAACTGCACATCGTATTAGCAATCTCAACTCCCTGGGGAGTATGCAACTCTTGCTGCCACTAGCTGCACCGAGTTATTGAGGCTTTCTCCTCCTAACGAGGTACACATTCACAGCTGGGTGGACTGGGACACATAGTCACAGCACTGTGTCCAACTTCACTTCACGTTGCTGTACCCGCACCTAGGTGTTTGCACGTATTCATGTGGCCACCTGGACATATACCAACGGATTCGTGGGTTCTTTTAAGTGCACGGGGTTGTGTACTGTACACTATGGGTTGTGACAAAACGGAAAGGGTCTGCACACAAAGTTGACCCCAATGTTTTTACACCCGGTCACAGGTTGGCTCGATCCCGGCACCTCAACCTCGCTGGATCAGTAGCCTGGCGCCTTAGCCAGCTCGCCCACCGCGAACATCATTGGCAGATGAAGTTAATTTTTCAAAATGTTTTGAATTGTCATTGCAATAATCAAGATAGAAATTGTAATTGGTAAAACGATGACTATAGATGCACTTTGTACCAAGACGAAACTAATCTGGGATACCATCGAGGTACTCGCGGAGACAATAACAGTAAAAAGAGCAACAACTAGTCCCCGGGAATTGTGCATGTCACGCTGACATCTGTGTTGTAACATGACAACGTTGTTTAACTTACCCAACAAGCGGAACGTTCGCTTTTGTTAAAAAACGTGAACGCCTTATGCAAGTTCTATAACTTAATATTATCTGTGTCATATGAGTAATACTCATTGGTCAAAGAGCTCTTCCCAAAGGGAAATGCAAATACGATATAAAAACACTAACGACACCAGCTGAGGCGACGCCACTGAATGAGGCCACGGGAACTGCAAACTGTGCGTTTGACCATAGGATGAAAAACTGATGATTCTTGCGTTACCTTGGCTTCTTTCTCCAGCAAAGCTCTGACTATTGCTTGTCCAAGCCCACCTGCACCGCCGGTAACTATGGCAACTTTTCCTTTGATGTGCATGGTCCAAAATACCTAGGTGACGACAGATTTATGGAGGAGGAGTCCGAGATGTGTGCTTTGGCTGTTGTGTAACAATCTGCCCAGGTTGAGAAATGTCCCGAGATGTCTGCTTTGGCTGTTGTGTGACAATCTGCCCAGGTTGAGAAAAGTCCCAAGATGTGTGCTTTGGATGTGATGTAACCATCTGCCCAGGTTGAGAGATGTCCCGAGATGTGTGCTTAGGCTTGTGTGTAACAACTGGCCCAGTTTGAGAGATGTCCCAGGATGTGTGCTTGTGTGTAACAACGGGCCCAGTTTTAGAGATGTCCCAGGATGTGTGCTTGTTTGTAACAATCTGCCCAGACTGAGAGATGTCCCGAGATGTGTGCTTAGGCTGTGATGTAACCATCTGCCCAGGTTGAGAGATGTCCCAAGATGTGTGCCTAGGCTGTGATGTAACAATGGGCCCAGGCTGAGAGATGTCCCGAGATGTGTGCTTAGGCTTGTGTGTAACAACTGGCCCAGTTTGAGAGATGTCCCAGGATGTGTGCTTGTGTGTAACAACGGGCCCAGTTTTAGAGATGTCCCAGGATGTGTGCTTGTTTGTAACAATCTGCCCAGACTGAGAGATGTCCCGAGATGTGTGCTTAGGCTGTGATGTAACCATCTGCCCAGGTTGAGAGATGTCCCAAGATGTGTGCCTAGGCTGTGATGTAACAATGGGCCCAGGCTGAGAGATGTCCCGAGATGTGTGCTTAGGCTTGTGTGTAACAACTGGCCCAGTTTGAGAGATGTCCCAGGATGTGTGCTTGTGTGTAACAACGGGCCCAGTTTTAGAGATGTCCCAGGATGTGTGCTTGTTTGTAACAATCTGCCCAGACTGAGAGATGTCCCGAGATGTGTGCTTAGGCTGTGATGTAACCATCTGCCCAGGTTGAGAGATGTCCCAAGATGTGTGCCTAGGCTGTGATGTAACAATGGGCCCAGGCTGAGAGATGTCCCGAGATGTGTGCTTAGGCTTGTGTGTAACAACTGGCCCAGTTTGAGAGATGTCCCAGGATGTGTGCTTGTGTGTAACAACGGGCCCAGTTTTAGAGATGTCCCAGGATGTGTGCTTGTTTGTAACAATCTGCCTAGACTGAGAGATGTCCCGAGATGTGTGCTTAGGCTGTGATGTAACCATCTGCCCAGGTTGAGAGATGTCCCAAGATGTGTGCCTAGGCTGTGATGTAACAATGGGCCCAGGCTGAGAGATGTCCCGAGATGTGTGCTTAGGCTTGTGTGTAACAACTGGCCCAGTTTGAGAGATGTCCCAGGATGTGTGCTTGTGTGTAACAACGGGCCCAGTTTTAGAGATGTCCCAGGATGTGTGCTTGTTTGTAACAATCTGCCCAGACTGAGAGATGTCCCGAGATGTGTGCTTAGGCTGTGATGTAACCATCTGCCCAGGTTGAGAGATGTCCCAAGATGTGTGCCTAGGCTGTGATGTAACAATGGGCCCAGGCTGAGAGATGTCCCGAGATGTGTGCTTAGGCTTGTGTGTAACAACTGGCCCAGTTTGAGAGATGTCCCAGGATGTGTGCTTGTGTGTAACAACGGGCCCAGTTTTAGAGATGTCCCAGGATGTGTGCTTGTTTGTAACAATCTGCCCAGACTGAGAGATGTCCCGAGATGTGTGCTTAGGCTGTGATGTAACCATCTGCCCAGGTTGAGAGATGTCCCAAGATGTGTGCCTAGGCTGTGATGTAACAATGGGCCCAGGCTGAGAGATGTCCCGAGATGTGTGCTTAGGCTTGTGTGTAACAACTGGCCCAGTTTGAGAGATGTCCCAGGATGTGTGCTTGTGTGTAACAACGGGCCCAGTTTTAGAGATGTCCCAGGATGTGTGCTTGTTTGTAACAATCTGCCCAGACTGAGAGATGTCCCGAGATGTGTGCTTAGGCTGTGATGTAACCATCTGCCCAGGTTGAGAGATGTCCCAAGATGTGTGCCTAGGCTGTGATGTAACAATGGGCCCAGGCTGAGAGATGTCCCGAGATGTGTGCTTAGGCTTGTGTGTAACAACTGGCCCAGTTTGAGAGATGTCCCAGGATGTGTGCTTGTGTGTAACAACGGGCCCAGTTTTAGAGATGTCCCAGGATGTGTGCTTGTTTGTAACAATCTGCCCAGACTGAGAGATGTCCCGAGATGTGTGCTTAGGCTGTGATGTAACCATCTGCCCAGGTTGAGAGATGTCCCAAGATGTGTGCCTAGGCTGTGATGTAACAATGGGCCCAGGCTGAGAGATGTCCCGAGATGTGTGCTTAGGCTTGTGTGTAACAACTGGCCCAGTTTGAGAGAGATGTCCCAGGATGTGTGCTTGTGTGTAACAACAGGCCCAGTTTTAGAGATGTCCCAGGATGTGTGCTTGTTTGTAACAATCTGCCCAGACTGAGAGATGTCCCGAGATGTGTGCTTAGGCTGTGATGTAACCATCTGCCCAGGTTGAGAGATGTCCCAAGATGTGTGCCTAGGCTGTGATGTAACAATGGGCCCAGGCTGAGAGATGTCCCGAGATGTGTGCTTAGGCTTGTGTGTAACAACTGGCCCAGTTTGAGAGATGTCCCAGGATGTGTGCTTGTGTGTAACAACGGGCCCAGTTTTAGAGATGTCCCAGGATGTGTGCTTGTTTGTAACAATCTGGCCCAGTAATCATCTTTTAGAGATGTCCCAAGATGTGTGCTGTGTGTAACAACAGGCTGGCCCTGGTTGAGAGATGTCCCAGGATGTCCCAGGATGTCCAAGGCTGTTGTGTTACAATAGGCATTGGTTGATAGATGTCCTGGGGTGTTTCTTCCATGTCATAAGATGTCAATATGTATTTTTAGATTCCCGTTTTACGATATTCATTTCCATATTGACTTGTTTATCACTAGTGTAAGATCTACGTGCACCTGTATGGTGCTGGAAATCAGAAAGACATATTAAGGACCAACCGAAATACAAACCAACGATCAGACGATATTAAAGGTCGCAATTCGATAGTGGCGGTGTGTGGTCCTGTGCGTAGAGATCAGGTCACAATCAGTTGAAGTTAAGCAACGTTGGTCGCGGACAGTCCTCGGATGGGTGACCGTGTTTGGCAGCTTGACTCCTGAAAGTTTCTAGGACTTCAGTCCTGCCCCACAATGAAGCACATGTGACGCATGTGGTCTCACCTTAGGCAAGTGAGTTTGTTCAAAATTGCCTCTGTCCACCCAGCAGTAAAATTGGGTACCTGGTATGATACGATGGTAGTCTGAATTTGAACCTTGAGCGCCTGACAGGCGACCGGTTGTATGTTCCACAGGGAGTGTTCTGTACTCGTTGACCACTGGTAATATGTCAGCGCTTTGAGCATGCAATGTGCATGGATAAACGCGCAATATATAAAAGGACTATGATTATTATATTATTTAAATTCGACGACAAAGAAACGGGTTTTGTGTTCCAAGCTAATAAAATACCCCTGTTAATAACTGGATAAATAATACAAAAGTAGGAGACTGATATAACGATATCCTGAAAGTATATACTCAATTACTAGAAGGGCAAAGTACAGACGTACGTCAGCAACAGTGGTATATTCCGTCTGTACTGTACAGGGTTATGTATTTTACTTAGTCATTAACAAAGGTAAATCGAAGTAAAACATGTATTCACCATTCCAAATACAGTCTGCGAATATTTCAATGTCAGGAAGCACAACAGATACCTTGAAAAATCAATAAGTATGTGATATTGATTCAGCATAGTTTTTAATTAAAAAATGAACATTGACGTTTTGCTGTACAAAATTTCACGCTAATCGATCTCAGAACCTCTCTGATAACCAACTGCTTGGCAATGTATTTGAGAGTGACTCCTTAAGTTGATTCATCAGTCGCCTCTATCTTCACCCTACGATTCTGTCCTTCGGGACACGTGTGAATTATGGTGCCGTTACTGTCGTCATCCTCCAGCAGATCATTCACAGAAGCAGCTATGTCCTTTGCACTGAAAAATATGAGTGAGGGAGTGAGTGAGTTTAGTTTTACGCCGCACTCAGCAATATTCCAGCTATATGGCGGCGGTCTGTAAATAATCGAGTCTGGACCAGACAATCCAGTGATCAACAGCATGAGCATCGATCTTCGCAATTAGGAACCGATGACATGTGTCAACCAAGTCAGCGAGCCTGACCACCCGACCCCGTTAGTCGCCTTTTACGACAAGCATAGTCGCCTTTTATGACAAGAATGGGTTGCTGAAGACCTATTCTACCCCGGATCGAGAAATATGAGCCATCAATATTACCCAAAATCATTGGTATGATATTCAATGACAAACAGTTACTAGTTTACACAAATCAATCGACCAATCTTCAAACAGTGACCACGACATATTCTTGCTTCAAATTAAGGATGACATGGACGTCCGTTCGCTTGGTCTCACGTCCATTTATCTGAAACACCAGCTGTGAGCCAGTGTACTACATCATGTTTGTTTGTCGTAGTTGGCTGTGTCCCTTGACCTCGTCCACACAGAACAATTCTAGGATGAGTTGAACCGAGTAAGATTGTTAACTGAACTCCAAGTCCTCTTGACCCGCCCCCTCTCTCCTGTTACCAGCTATGGTAAAACATTTAAGCCATTCTGTTAATAAACAGACTAATTTTTCAGGCACTTTACAAACTGACTGAGTGAATCAGGCAACTTACAGATTGACTGAAAATTTCAGGCACTTTACAAATTGCATGATTTTACACATTGACTGCAACATATATATTACATGCTTATGACGTAGAAAGAATTAGAATAATCTCTGAAAAATGGGAAGGATTGCTGAACAATACACCTGACAATGTTGGCCCCACATTTAATGTCTTTGACATATATTATCCAATAACAATATATCAAATAGGTTTTGCGTCAACTGAGACTTGGCACTGATGTATTTCGACATATTTCTTTTTCTGTTTAATGACATAAATGTACAAGCATATAATAATTGATGAATTTCTACAGCGCATCATTCAGTGTCCTAGTGTGTGCTCAGCAAGTGAAAGCCTGGGAGTCTGTAGTTATGACTTGAAAGGCAGTGAATAGACAGATTTCAGTTTTTTCGGCAGATAATTCCATTTTTTCTGCCGCTGCATATTTGATTGTTCTCTTGCCGAAAGTTGAGGTCTGAATTTTGGGAATGGTGAACAGTTTTTGCTTTTGTGATCTCAGAGGACGATAGATGTTGAGTAGTTTAATTAGTGAGGTACGATGGAGAAATTTTGAGGAAGTACTTGTAGGCATACAGAAGGATTTTGTAGTCAATGCGGATCAAACAGTAGTATATAGTACGGATGCTTTGAGTTCATGCGGGAACCTTCATTTGTCAAGAACGTCAGCGTGTTATGTGGGGGTTTGATGCTGGTCAGTCTGTGGTCGCTGTAAGGTAAAAGACTTTGATTTTTAATCTTAGGTTGAGAGTGCATCAAACCGGAACTGTTGCTGACCGCCCGAGGCCGGGAGTGTCATGAGTGACGGCACTCCGGGAAGATCAAACAATACGATTGCCTCATCTTCGGAACAGATTTGTTACTTCCACAAGGAGGGAGATGTTTGAGGGAAGGATAACTGCACAAACCCAGAAATCACTTGCGTGCTGCTGGACTTCGACCCATAGACCCCATCATGGACCAATTTTATTGCCTCTTCATTGCCACAACCGACTGGTGTGGGCCACACGACACATAAGGTTCAACAAAGAGATGAATCTTGATTCATGCTGACATTTGCGGACGGCAGGGCCCGAGTGTACCGCAGGCAAGGTGAACATCACACTCAAGTCGGTGTCCGTGAAGTGGATCGATTTGGTGGTGGAGCGCAATGATATGGGGTTCGTTCTGCACACATGGACGTTCTGCCCTTGTTGTCGTTCGAGGGAACTTAAACGCTGCCCAGTACGGGTGTCTGATTTTCAAAAATGTCCTGCTTCCATTTATGCAGCAGACATGACCCTGGACTGACGTTCCAACAAGACCATGTTAGACCGCATACGGCAATTCTTAAACAGAATTTTCTATGAAATACCGGTATTCAAGTTCTGGATTGGCTGTCGCGTATCGAACACATCTGGGATGAGCAAGGGCGACGTGTTTGAGCAAGTCAATCCACCACAAACCTTGCAGGTAATGTCGACGTCTTCCTCGAGGTGTGTTTACTAGCGTTCTAAGATTCTTGAATAGATGTTGTGTGGCTGTAAGAGACGCTAGAGGTGACAACAACCCTTACTGAAGACCTCGATCGAATTGTTCTTCACGCTGTGAACATTATTTTGGAGGGTACCTTGACATCATGAACGTTGTCGGTGTTAAGTATTTTCCGCGCGACTTGGTTTTTTTGGTTTTGTTTTCCCTTTGATGTCAAGATGTTCTGTGCACAGCATACAACTATAAATGTTCTCTTAAACCTAATATAACAAATGTAGTCCCAAAAATCCCAAGTGTCAAGTTTAAAGTTTTGCTCCGTATAGTATGGTAAGTTTGATAGTGTTGAAAGTTATTGACAAAATGTCAAATGAGCAGATTTTAGCTGAAAAATAATAAGAGTGAGTGAGTGAGTTATTATTTAACGTCACATCGGCAATATTGCGAAGGATAATAAGAAAAATGGTAAATTGCATGGTCGTAACATTACAGTAATGCCCTATGGTTTCATTTAATCGAAACGGATGGGCATAGGGAAGCAATTAGACGATTGTATTCTGAGAGAGCTCCTGCCAAAAGCTGCATTTAGTGAATTAACTTTAAATTGTCTGCCCTTGAACTGCGAGTCGCGAACCTTTGTCGATTCAGATTCATGCAGATGACAATGATGTGTTTGGACAGCTTCTCAAAGGGTCTTTGGTAATTTCTGGTAGAGTGAGAAATAAACCAAAACCCCGAACCAAACATATATAAAACGACGCAATCACAAATAAATAACCTTTTGCAGGCACTTCTTTTCTGTGTCACATTTCTAACACTTCTGGCATTTAGAAACTTATTGCAAGCTGAATCCAACAGAAATATACGTTTCTTCAACATTCCAGCAGCTTCTCACAAGCATGCTCTGAGGATACTTACTCTTCGAAGCCACCCTTTCCATAAAGCTTCTTCATGTCCTCAACATACAATGCATTTGACGTTGGATCAGGAATTGTAAACGATTTGAAGGCTGTGGGGCACACCAAGCAGAATCTCAAGCCCAGGTCTTTCAGATAGGGATTTGTCTGGAAAATTTAACGTTCTCACAATGCACCAATGTGGTAGGTGGTCCCGTTCTCAGTTTTTGTTGTCAAAGGTGCCGATAACGTTGACATGCTTTATACTGTTAGCGTGTGTTTTTGTGTTGCTTGTTTGGATATCATGACATGGAGGTACATCAACAAACAAATCCTTGATTTATAAAGATAATGTTCAGCTAAACAATCATTTATGTTTATCAGGATCTACAAATAATTATGCGAGACCACTAACAGATTTATTGGGGTTTTTCTGACTGGCGGATATACGTGTGTGAATGGACATGAAATATGTCTCTGATTTCGTTGCGTTTCCAACTTCTTTTGTGTCCATGATTAATTGAGCATGATACAACGTTAGTATTGTTCATTTTTTAGGATGAAGCTCTAAAGGTTTAAAAAGATGTGCTCACATTGTGTAAATCTGCTATGCCATATTTTGAAAGCAGTTCATAATAATGTTTCAGGCCTATACTCACTGCCCAGGATCTTGTGAATCCTACTACCCCGGTCTTTGTTGCTGTATAAGCTGGGACAGTGAAGATCGGCTCTAAACCTAGAAAAACGTCAGAATGCCTTTTCTAAACTCAGCACCTAGATTATCGTTATAATTTACTACAACAAAGTCATCAATACTTGGAAGGTCACATAACTCAGTTACATCTATTTCCACTCCAATAGTCATTCTTCAATTCCTGATAGTCTTTGTGGTGTGTTTATCATTGTCACGCGCCATTATCTTTGTGTTTATCATTTACACCATCACCATCTATATATATACTACAAACAAAAAGTATGGAAACACCCTCAAATTTGAAAGCCATGCACAAACCCTACAGTTGCTTCATTAATTCATAAAAGTGAAATTTATCTGTGACATGTGATTAGTGGACACTTTAAACGACATGTTGAAACAACAGTTGAAGCAATTGCTTCAATATTCGTTAAGTTTTGATGAAATTAAAATTTTTCCAAAACAGCAAAAGACGAAGGTGTCAAAACATACCTGCACTGTGTCTGATTCAAACGCCAAAACATAACAACCTAGTGCACGTGAAAGACAGACTTCTCGTGCATGTTGTGGCAACTTTTCCTTTAAGAGAAGCTGCAGACAGTGTTGAAGCCTCGCAATTAACCCAACATGCCTCAGCGTAGACCATTAAACGACCACAACAGAAACAGGGCCATTGCATGGCTACAGGATGCTGAATCCTTAAGAAGCGTTGCTCGTCGTCTGCAGGTGTCCCCCTTCCGTCACTCACAGGCTGAGGGAACGGTTCTAAACCACTGGCAGAGTACAGGACAGACCCCGATCAGGAAGGCCACGAAAAACGACATGGGCAGAAGATCGATATGTTATACTCAACGCCCTTAAGAACCGTTTCACAACTGCCAGTGCTCTACGACTGCAGCTCAGACATGCAACTAACACAAACGTCAGCATCTCAACCATCAGGAACCGTCTCAGAGCTGCTAATCTACGGTCACGTCGTCCAGCGGTACGTAATTCATTCTGTCCACATCATCGAGCTGCAAGACTGGCCTGGGCAAGAGCACATTTGAGATGGAATCATCAACAGTGGTCCGGGGTACTCTTCACTGACGATGGGAGGCGTGGAGAACATTACCATGATGCTACTGGAGAGTGAGTGAGTGAGTGAGTTAATATTTATCGTCACATGCTACTTGAGAGGAACAGATTTGAGCTTGGCTCTGTGATGGTTTGGGGAGGCTTCAGCTTCAGAGGTACCGGGATGAGATTCTGCGTCCTCTGGTTCTTCCATCTTTGAACACCATTGGTGCCGGAGCACACCTGCAAGATGACAATGCCAGACCACATCGAGCTTGATTCGTTAGAGACTTCTTGCAACAAAATAATGTGAATGTGATGCAGTGGCCAGCTTATTCACCGGATCTGGCTCAAACTGAACGTCTATGGGACATTCTTGGACGATTTGTTAGAGACGATCATGGAATGACACCGACTCTTCAGGTTCTTGTACAGTGGCTCCAGATAGAATGGCAGTTGATTCGACGAGCTACCCTCCGCACCCTTGTGAGGTCAATGAGGCGTAGATGTACAGAATGCATCAATCAACGTGGAGGATACACTCACTATTGATTATGTGACTTTCAGTTCTGACCCCTATCCTCTTCCGCTGCTTGTACTAGAATTGTAGTCAGTGATATCTGACCATAACTCCATTACAATTTTTACACCAAATATTGTTTTATTTACCCTTGTAATAAACCGACCCTGCCACTTTAAATTTACTTTGTTATTCTTTGAGGTTTGGGTGTTACCATACTTATTGTCGGTAGTATGTGTTTGGTAATTTGTGTCATGGCCACATGGTGAATAATTCACTCGTTCTATATTCTTCATACACCTGGACTTACGTGAAACGTTTCTTATGTAATTGAAAACTGAAGGAACAGGATGTATGTATTATGCGAATACCTTTTTTTAAGTTTAAAAGAATAACTGTATTACGTTTCAGAAATAATTCTTTTGAAATATATTCTTTGAACTCATGCTAAGTCTAAAGTTTTGGATATTTTATTGTTAATACAGCAAATTCTCCACCCTTCAACAAAGGTCCAATACACTTCAGTTTCTTCTTTGCCCAAAAGGCTGGTTTAAATCATATGATAAAGAGAACAAGAGCGGTATTTATACATAAGTATGGTGGTTCTTTATCGTCTTACTGGTACTTATTTATCTCGATCATGGAGGCAACATCACCTACCTGTAATGGAGGAGACGTTGACGACCACACCACCTTCCCCACCTTCATCCTTCCTCATGTGCTTGATGGCGAGGTTCGAACCTCTGATGGTGCCACCCTGCGAAGACAGGGACAGTTTTATGTGCTTAATGAAAATGTATGTAAGTTTTTCTACAGTTGTATTTGCATCTACATTTCCTTCACAGTAAATTACTTTCATACAACCGTTTTAATAACATGCAGGTCAACCTTTCTACTGTTAACGTCTTTGGGAGGCATTTTAGAAGTTGTAAAGGTGATACAAAGAGTTGAAACAAGGAGAATATATACACAGCGGCATAGTGAGTATATACAATTGACAAGGTGGATGTACTTTGGATTGCTAATTAATGATTTGAGTAGAGAAGGTTGATGTACAGAGTGATAGTGATTGAAATACACATACAGAGTGAGTTTATACAATAGATGAGTTTGATGTACGCTGGTTACCACTTCAAAAGTGATTTTGAGAATATTCGACTCCTGTTGCTGTACAATACAAATATACCATTTCTTTCCAAAACGTCATCTTTGTGTAATATAATTGTAAACAGCTTCAGCGTCAAAACGCGGCAATTTCAAAATTTCCCTTGTTTTAGAAGCGTTTGATGAAATATTCGCCAAAATGTCACCAAGAAAACATGTAAACCAAATATAAGCGAATGCGGTAACGATCACCATGAAAAAACAAACGTTGTGTTTAGATTTTAAGAGGAAATCATCATGCCATGACTAAGTGCCGCCAATCGAAACATGGCCATAGTCCGCCTTGAAGCTGGGGAGTCGCAGTCTGCAGTTCAGCCCGACATTTCAACGTTCATCAGAGCACAATATGTTGCCTTTGGGATTGTTTCCTGCAGATCCATTCCATCCAACGTCGCCCGAGAAGGGGCCATCCAAGAGTTACCACCCAAGCCCAGGAACGCTACATCCAAACTGAACTTGCATCATCGTCCTGCCACAGCCGTGGAAACTGCACAACGTATCCCTGGTTTGAGACGAATTCCAGACCTAAATGTCAGGAATCGATTGCGTGAAGTGTGGATTCGACCAAGAAGGCCAGTTGTCGCCCTTGTTTTGAGAGACGTCCATCAGCGCAACTGTTTGCAATGGGGCCGTAGAGTCTGGGACTGGAAGCTTAGAAACTGGAGACGAGACTGGTTTAGTGATGAATCACCATTTCGTCTTCACTGGCGAGATGGAAGACAGTGTGTTGGATCGGAGAAATGAACGTTTTGCCCCTAATTGCAAAATATAATACTTTCGGTTGAGACTGTGTCATGGTGTTGAGTGCGATATCCAGCACACAAAGATCTGATATGGTGGAGGGTCAGGGTAATTTGACAGCAAATCGGTACATCAACGTCACATGTTTCCGATTATGGACCTACAGAGGGAGTTGTTCCAGCATGACAACGCTCCTTTACATACAGCACTCCTCACAGTCTGCTACCTTGCCAATTCTAACATCAGTGTCTTGCCAAGGCCTTCCCGATCACCAGATCGAACACCTATGGAATTAACTCGATAGACGTGTAGGTCAACGTCAAAACACGCCACAGACACATCCACATGTAGCCATCGCATTGCAGGAAGAGTGGTGAAGAATTCCGTAGGAGCGACATCTTCGACTTATCCAGTCTGCTGCGAGACGGTGCCCAACAGTAATTGTTGCCAATTGGTGGCCATACAAATTACTGACTTGTCCATCTTGTGGACTCAAGTAAACAGAAACACAACAATAAAGGCTGCTGTGTTGATGGCGAACTCCTTGTCTATAAACGTGTGATTTTTCACCTTTTTTAGCATTGAAATTACTTGAAATAATTGCTCTGAAACTAACGCAATACAGTTTCTAAACGCTATGTACAGAGAGGTACACCAACATGTTAAATATTCGTTACACACTTCTGACGTCTTTGCAGGCCATCAATGTGACATTTCTCTTGAAACAGAGCGATTTAGTTTCAGCAACCCCATCTCAATTCAGGCGACTGCCTTGACTATATTGGTGGCTGTATTGCAGTCGGTTTAAATGTTGCCTTGCTAATGTTTTCTTTTCTCAAACATTTGATAACACACCTGATCCTCGGGACTTTCAGGAACTGATGTTCAACTGAGTTGTTTTGCAGTAACCAGTCTTGAACACATCTTGATGATGACTGATAGAAGCTATCTGCTCTACAGCACTACTTCAGCCGTGAAAATGTTGGATAGAACTGGTGATCGGCTTGCTGGCCTGACTGATACATTCGTTGTCTAATGACATATTTTCATTATTTTCAGACCGCTGTCATGAGCTGGATTATTGGACAAGAAACAAATACAGTTACACCTCTTTGACCATCATCTACAGGTCATTTTGTTATGGATAATAATTTGCCGAGTCCCCGTAATGAACCAGCAAAATAGAACACAGACAAGTCAATAATATTCAGACATTCAATAATATATTGAACAAACAATGAGCAAGATACAATGAATGACAATACAGATTTCTAGTACAGTGCAATTGAGACACAAATCTAAATATTGTAAGTCCACATGGTCCCTGGTTTGGTGATCTACCTTCAGTTGTTGGCGATCTATAGCCTATTTTCATGTTGTGTTGTTCCCTATAGTTAGAATGTTTTACATTTCATTACTAGTTTACATGTATATCTGTGATATTCTAGTTGTTTTACTGTCCTTCGATGACAGGTTTTTACGTTATACATTTATTGATTTGCCTATTGATATCAACTGTTCTCGTCACGATACGGCTGCAATATTGCCGATTTGACGTTAACTTTTAACTCACTCACTCACTCTTAATATCTGGTCACATATATAAAGATATAAACTCACCAGTCTTGACATTTACAGTGAGAACAGATATACTGATTGAAGGTTGTTTACAATGACAGCAGGCAAGCACGGTCAGTCTTGAAATGTTGAGAAACTCGACGATGGTAGAGAGATGTGTATAAATCCAGTCATGTGAAAAGTCCTGTGGTGCACTACTCTACAACCATCCTTTATGTAGCTCTTACACAGTTCTCGGGCATTCTAGCAAAGCTAGGCTCCATCATTATTCTCTCAGAACGCCATGGAACCGCGTGGAAAACACACGACGTGACAAGACCCGGAATTCAAAACCAAATAACCCAGCCAAGGGAGGCAACTCTGAAGCGCTATCAAAAGGCGTGCCGCTACAAATACTATTGCCACTGAACATATATGATGCAAGATGCGAGACAAAACCCACGCTCAAAACTTTAAACATTGTGACCCATAATAATTATCACTTAATCAATGTGATATTACAAATTAAAAAACAAACACACACACACACACACACACTCTCATAACAATATTGAATCAGCTGTGTTCTCTCACCAGGTTAACCATCAGCATCTTGTCAATGTCTATCTTCTCGTTGATGACGGCTGCATTATTGACCATGATGTCCACCTGTCCATAACGTGCCACGACGCCGTCGAAGGCCTCTGAGTAACAAGGAAGAACATGTATTGAGTAGGGTTCATTATTGTTGTTTGTGAAGACAGTAAAACTGATCGAACACTGCTGTTGCAGCACACAGAACAAAACCCCTTCAAGACTCTTGAATGTCAAAGGAGAAACGTCATCTATGACATTAAATGTACACTTTGAGGATACTGTTAGAGACATGTGGTTTGGTGACGAGTCAGCAAGCAAATATCAAGCACCAATACTAATTCTTACAATCGTGTTTAGGACTTGTCAGTTCTGAAAATCACATCATCCTTTACATAAAATTTATTCATTAAAATAAACAAACATAATGTCGGAAAGAAACCATCGGATCGACTAAAGTGTACGGCAATGCCATATGTCATGATAATGAGACAACAACAATCTTCAGAACCAACGACCCAACAAATCTGTATCCGTTCCCAAATGTGAAGATCCCCGACCCCTTGAGCTCCATTCTTGCTGATTCCATAATTTATGAAAATTTATTGTTTAGCTGAAAAAGTCATAGAAATATTTCACTGTACATTAATCTTACTCTTTACTTAGGCGAATTATGTGAAGAGGTAAGGTCATTTCGCTCCATACCTTTGAAACCCTTTTCGTCAGTTACATCGCACAGCGAGAAGGACACTTTGTCTCCTCCAAACTGACTCTGTAGTGAAGACTCTATCTCAGCACCTCTGTCAGCATGGATGTCAAAGATAGACACCTGTGTTAAACAAATGATTTATCGAGAATATAACATGATGTTAAAGAATTAACATTTTGGTCTGAATAAGTCTCTCAGCCTTGAGAGACGGCGATCGGTAATGGTACTGATGGTGCTGTGTTGGTCACTTGTCTTTAAACGGACAACAAAAGGACTGTCATCCAGGTGTTCCAACTATAAATCTATTATTATTATTATTATTTTGTCTTCTAATTCTTGCACAAGCAAGATAACAGCCTTGCACACTTTACTTGAGAAACATTTTGTTTATATAAAGTACCTGTTTTTTATGAGTGTGAAAAGGGTTATAAAGTATTTTGTATCACATCAAGGTTCAGATTTCAACAGCGGCTGGGAAATCAGAGATATTTATATTTTGATATTGCGCGTCAGAATTGAGTGAGTGAGTGAGAGGAAAGTACAGACCTACTTAGTGATGTACATGGTAAAAAGGTACATGCCATTAACTGCCATTGCTCTCTGTTTAAGAATCTCAACCTGGTAAAAACGGTAGCGACCTTCGACAGCTACACTGGAAATATTAACTACCAGTTTTTTCTACCCTACTAATGAGTTAGTTACTCCTTTAATACTGTCTATTTGTTGAGACATAAAACACACATATCGATGTTTGTGGGGAAAGGCCACAGCGTTTTCTCGAAATATGACTAAGGACACAAGCGAGGCTCTTGACATTTATTGACCCGTGAAGATCCGGGGTAGAATAGGTCTTCAGCAACCCATGTGCTTGCCATAAAAAGGCGACTATCTTGTCGTAAGAGGCGACTAACGGGATCGGGTGGTCAGTTTCGCTGACTTGGTTGACACATGTCATCGGTTCCCAATTGCGCAGATCGATGCTCATGCTGTTCATCACTGGATTGTCTGGTCCAGACTCGATTATTTACAGACCGCCGCCATATAGCTGGAATATTGCTGAGTGCGGCGTAAAACTAAACTCACTCACACTCACTCACTTGACATTTATTGAAATCAAATCATGACATAAAACTCCTATCATTACATTCATCGACACAGACGATGCAGTGATAATACCGACTCCCTTATCTGAAACTGCCGTGCAAAGGTAACGCTTGATGTTTGTACTTTGTCCGGGAGTGTATTATTGCCACAGCATAAAATAAATTATCATCTACGTAGATTTAGGTGTATAATATACAATGTACTTATCTAAGAAGCATCGAATTGGTATTAATATTTTTTTGCAAATCGATATTAATTCAGGGTCTCCTTCTTTTGTTTGTTGTTTAACGCCACACTTAGCAATAATACAGCTATATATATCAGTCCGTAATAATCGCGTATGGATAACCCAATCCAGTGATCAACATCATGAGCATCGATCTACGCATTTGGAATCAGATGAGATGTTTCAATAAAGACTGTGAGCCTGACCACCCAATCTCGTTGGTCGCGTCTTACGACTAGCATGGGCGGATTTTCATGTCCGACTTTCAACCTTCATTCATCTGTTTGAGGTAACGTTTCACTTAAAGGTGTGAAAGTTTGTTAAATGATTATATTAAAGTGGTATGTTTGTATTTAAACACTAATACATCACAATAATCAAGATGGAAATTTTAATTGGTGTTTCATCTTTGCTGACAAAGATGATCACAACCCAGTCACGTATTCTGGGATATCATCCGGGTACTCGCAGAGGAAGAAAAGTAACCAAAGCATTAACCAGTCCCCGGGAATAGCACAAGATCAGTGTCTCTTTAAGCCATAAGGCCATGTTACGCTGACATCATTGTTGTAACATAAGGCTGTTTAACTGACCCAACAAGTGGAACGTTCGCTTATGTTCAATAACGTCAACGCTTTATACAACACACGTTCTATAACTTAATATTGTCTGTGTCATATGAGTAACACTCATTGGTCAAACAGCGCTTCCCTACGAGAAATGCAAATACGATACAAAAACACTAACGACCCCAGCTGAGGCGACGCCACTGAATAGGATAGGATGAACATAGGATGAAAAACAGTAACATGACCTCAGACTGATTATACTTGCGTTACCTTGGCTTCTTTCTCCAACAAAGCTCTGGCCATTGCTTGTCCAAGAGCACCTGCACCGCCGGTAATTATGGCAACTTTTCCTTTGATGTGCATGGTCACAAAGATCTAGATGACGCCAGATTTATGGAGGAAAAATCAGTTGGGGAGCAGGCTGGGAGATGTCTCGAGGTCTATGCTGAGTCTGTTGTGGAACAATGGCCCCAGTTGAGAGATGTCACGATCTTTGAGCTAAGTCTGTTGTGGAACAATCGGTCCAGGTTGAGAGATGTCACGATCTTTGTGCTTCGGCATTTTATTGTCCCCTGAGAGGGTATGTAAGACCACATCTTTCAAAGAAGGTTTAATCTCACCACATTTTAATCATAGTATATGTGTTCGTTCAAATTAATGTCTAAACTGTCAACAGCTGAGGGGATGATGTAAATCCAGCTAGGGTCCATGCAGGTAGCAAAAGTACTGTAAGTTCCCGTCCCCATCTACCTTCAGTTGTTGGCAACCTATAGCCCATTTTTATATTGTATTGTTCTATTTAATAATATCGTTTTATGATAGCGTGCTAATTTTTATTTTAATACATGTGATATACTAGCAGTTTTACTGTTCTTTGACAACAGACTTTTAATTTCTATTTGTATTGATCTATAATTATCAATTGTTCTCGTCACGATATAGCTGAAATATTGCCAATGTTACGATAAATATTAACTCAGTTGGATTTTGCAGTTGTTGCATTTATTATAACTTACGTAATTCATCATGGCAAATATCAGTTAAGTTTATCCATAACAATGTTAAGATATTTTGGAATCTCACAAACATATTTTTCAAATATTTAGTCAATATTTGTAAAGTTGTGGATAAAACATTTTATCGGGAACTTTGTAAATAAATAAAGTATCTTGCAGTTGGAATTATCAAGGAGATAACTTTATGTGAAATGCAATTCCAGATGTAATTCTAAGAAATAAATGTAATGAATTAAATAATAATTTAATAGCATGTAAACAATGATGATTATATCCACACTTTGATTGGTACCAATAGCTCTGAATAGGTGTCTCTCACAAATGTATTCTGTAATATGAGCTTGATTATTACAAACCCATTTAACATTTGTTTATGGTGCAGCATGTTCAGGTAAACATAACACCTACATGCTTAATTTATCAATAATATCTTGATGTCAACACTGTAAGGAACGGTTTACATTTCCTTAAGTATATCATACTTGGTCTCACATGTGTTATGTATTTTTTTTCAGTTGCAAAAGATGCACATCTTTAAGAGGAGAAAGAAGGAGGAATAGATCACCACAATTACCATTGACATCAAGAGCAACACAAACTGAAACAGATCTTCAGATTTCTTTTAACATCTGGTGTTCAAACAGCAAGTCATTGAAGTGTTTTATAAAACATATTAACCCTTATCCCACCAAGTGGCATTTAGAAGCTGGTGTGATGAAGAGGAACACTTGTTATGGATAGACAACTTCTTTATTACAGTGGATGCGACGTTTCTGTGTAGATCGTAACACTGTTATCTAGCAAATGATACACAGCATCTGAACAAGGACAAGTATATACATGACAGGTATTTGGGTTTATACAATAGAAGAGGTTGATGTGTGTTGACATGAGGCTTGTTGTGATAAGAAATGACTGAAGCCAGTAGACAAAGGGTGGGTGATTCTTTATTATTTGATCGTAAGCTGTAGGGACGTAATAACGTTGATCTCTGTTGATTGTCGTGTTGAGCCGTTTGATGTTGATTGCTTCTAAGAGTTCTCTTATCCCATGGCCTACCTATGGGATCACTACCCATCATCAGCGAGATCTACGTGACAGAACTCGAAGGCAACGCCCTCCTCACCTCACCCGTCCCACCAATATGCTTTTTCCGGAAAGTAGACGACACCGAAAGACCCCACCACCTTGCTTCAACGAGACCACAAAACCCTCCTGTAAGAACTTAGGGACAAAACGAGATAGGTCCGACTCTACACAAGCAGCTCACAGTTCCCCATCCTAGACCACCCTACGCCCGAGTCACCATCAAGGTCCACAAAGACCACATCAGAGTCCGTCTCCTGTCTGTTCCAGAAACACAGTTCATTACAATAACACCAAGCATCTCGCCCCTCTAGGTAAATTAACTAAATCCTTTATCTCGGACTCCAACGAATTCTGCAACAGGATCAGCACCATCACCCAGCCAGGAAAACTAATGAGTCATAATGTGGTTGATCTATTCACCAATGTACCAAGAGACAAAGCCCTAGCCATCATTAGAAGAAAAGTTGAAGACATCCGCGCTAAACCTAAACACCCATCTCACAGTAGAAAGCATCATCCGCCTCCTCCATTCTTGTATAAGTTCAACATACTTCACCCGGTCTGATAAAGTCTACCAACAAACCCATGGTCAACCTATGGGATCACGTCTCTCCCCCATCATCACCGACATCTACATGACAGAACCCGAAGACAAGGCCCCCCTCACCTTACCCGTCACACCAATATGCTGGTTCCGGAAAGAAGACGACACTTTTGTCATAATCAACCCCACCGATGATCCCATCTGCCTTCTCAAACACCTTAATGCCCAAAATCCACGCATGAAATTCGACGTCCAAGTAAAAAAGACAACAACAAACTCCAAACAAGTGTCTACAGGAAACCAACCCGCACAGACTTCACTTCTCATCTAATCACCCACTGCAAGTCAAGAGAGGTATAATCGCCACCCTAGCCAGAAGAGCAAAGAACATCAGTTCCACAACCCAAGGCCTTGAAATCGAGTTAGAACACCTTCGCCATGTCTTCATAAACCTTAATCAGTACCGAGCTAATCAAGTCAACAGAACCATCAAGACCACCCTCAAACCAAACCACCACGTCAACAATCATCCCCGTTGTCGATACAACCAGCCACCATATCCGCAGATTACTAAAGAAGCAAGCCAACATAGATGTGGTGTTCCAGAGAGGAACATCAATTCAGCATATCCTACAAGCCAATATTAAACCAGCTACAAGCAACAAAGAAGACCCATCAGGCGTTGTCTACCACATTCAATGCAAATGTGGAGACTCGTACATATAAACCCAAATACCCTTCATATATATATTTCTCTTTGTGCATATGTTGTGTATCATTTGCTTGATAATGGTGCTAGGATCTACACAGAAACGTCGCATCTACTGCAGTGTGTGTGTGTGTTAGTGTGTGTGTGTGTGTGACCGGGCCTCTAAGGCCCGGCAAAGCAGTTAAAGCAATAATATTAAGTTTTTTAAAATTAATGGTAATTATTTCAAAAGAAACTTTTTCACAGCAATCAGTATTGTAATTTTCAGGAATAGATTGAATACTGAACATTTATATACAGAAATGAAGTTTTGGCATACCATCAACGTGCACTTCGGGCCTCAAATGACCCACTTGGTGGGATAAGGGTTCAAGCCCTACGAATCATCCTTTGGACCCTTGCTTGAACAGGAAATGCTTGTCATTAGCAAGGTGTTGTGGAATTCCTTGTGACATCTTGGGACTCTCAGATAATTTCAGTGAGAATTTAGATATATGACCATGAAAATATTCCAGTTCATACTGATACAGTAGTTTTTCAGGTTTAGCAGCTGGGAAATGCAAAGAATGTTTGATATGATATGAGTAATTATGTCTTGGGAATACAATTGCAGAATATTTCTAAAATTTGTTGATTGTTCTTTAAGTGTGGATAAACAAGCACAACTTGAATGGTTTGTAAGATTTCTGCTTTTAGTCATGATATTGATTTGACATTAAATATATAATGATGCAATGTATGAGATTAGATTTTCAGTGCATATAGCAAATGTTTCCAAGTGTAAGAGTTGGGTTTTACGCCGCTTTTAGCAATATTCCAGCAACATCATGCAGGGGAGAGTAGAAATGGGCTTCACACTTTGCACCAATGTTGGGAATCGAACCCGGGCCTTCAGTGTGACAAGTCAACAGTTTAACCACTAGGTTACCCTACTACCTCCAGTTTCCATGAAAAAACATGCTTACCAATCAAACTTAAACTTAATCAATGGCATAGGCATGTATTTCTACATGACATGGAAGTTTTGTTGAAATATGAAATTCTTTGTTTTTATTTGCTGTAAGATTACAACACTGGTTCATAGCACAATAACCAGTACAAATTATTCTTTTCCATTATTTTAAAACATATTGGTCTAGCTGTATAGTGGAAAATATGGAATACCAGTTACCAACCTTGGCCTCATTGGCAGAATATTTAGAATATACAAGTTACTAAAAATGGGCGAAAAACACTATATTTCATGACAAGTAATCATACTCATGCTGCTATCAGCGAGTGTCTGCAGAATCTACAGTCATGACATAGTATATATGCACATTTAGTTTCCACATGTATTGGTTAGAATATTTTACAATACAGGAAATGTATTTGAGTGATTCTTCCATATTTGAGTATATTTGGTCGTGCATTTTTGCCAATTTTCACTTGAAGGTGCTGAGTGCTGCTTCATATTTTGCTTACAGCACAGCAGAACCTCACCCCTGCATAACCAAGAACTAAGTAACACGCATGTACTGTAGATCATAGTAGATAATTCATCCAAGTCATCTAGTACAAAGTGTAATTTATATTGTCCAACAAACAGTTTTTGTATATCACCCCACTAAAATAATCTTGATAAATAATTGTTTCATGATGAATATTGATATGGCTGAAAGTTTTCACATTTTTGTTTTGAATATCTGACAGTAGTAACCGAAATAATTGTAACCTTGCCATCTAGGTTATTTTATATTATTTGGAGCTGTTGATTGATTTGTGACACTATGACTTCTTGTGTGAATAAAAACTTCACCATAAAAACGCTGAGAGTTATGGAGCATGACAACCACTTTCTTATGTAACTGAAAATTGAGTTTACATCTGTTCTGCAAGATTTGTCGAAAACGTCCTGACAGATGGTCGTGGTCTAACACTCGGTCAGTACCTAAAAGTTTCCCACACAAACCACAATGAGTAGTATTAGCAATGGTTATCCAATCTTGTTTGGTCAGTTGCATTG